CACACCTATTCTTCCTTCAATGAGCTCCAGGGGTAGTAGAATTATCAGACCAGAATTATGTTTGCATTATGCACAGTGTAGCCTTCTCTTCCAAAACTGATTTGCTTTTACTAAAAATATTATGGGAAAGATCTAATATCTTATAAAGGATAAGGGAAATAAAGCAAGGTAAATCTACTTACAGTTCTGAGCTTCCTTGAAGCAAAGGTAGAAAGAAGAAACATATGTTCTAGAATCTGTTCTAGAAGCAGAGCTTTTTCTCAATAACAAATTCTGAACAGGATTAATTTTGTGGGTTTTTATCCAGGAGACATTGTTATCAACTGAGATTTGTTTTCTTTTGTCAACAGAGATTTTATGGACGATGCAGCAGTAGAACTCAACATGTGTCCATTTCTGAGAGAGATTCCAGTACTGCCCAAGGACAAAGTATTGAAACCAAAGGATTGGTGGCCTTCTGTAAGTTGGGTTGGGGGCAATTTAAGAGCAGAACCCTATCAAACCTACAAGTGAGTGGATGGCATGTATCTTCCTGAGGTATCACTTTCTCTTAGCCAACCTTTGTGTTTGCTTATTTAAATATGGATGCCAGGGGTGTGTCAGGGTTAATGGTGCGTGGCCAGGACCCAGCACCTGAAACTTGACCAGCTATAGTGCTCCCCCCAAAAAATGCTCAAGATAAAACTCTTCCACTTATTACTTCAAGGCTTTGGCCCATTCCTTCATGTGGTAGCTTGGTGATCTTGTCTGGACAGGCCGGTGCCTAAGGGTTCCTGTGGTGGCCTGGAGAAAGACCTGGGCCCAAGACTCATTGACAACAGCCCCTGGACCCTTTATCCCTTATAACTTACCACACCAGAAGAAAGGAGGGATGAGCCCCAGGCAGAGAACACTAATGCCAACAACTGGTCCAGGTCACCACTCTAAGTCACTTAGGTCAGGCATCTCCCCCATGAGGAAAGATCCTGGCTGCTTTTAGTATACTAGTTGAGTGGAACAAGAAACAGAGACCTGGAGAAGGAGGAAGGGAGAAAACAAGAGACAGAGAGCAAATTATGTAAAGTCTTCCTTCTTTGGGCTGTTTTTGGCTTCCAATGCCCCAGGAATAGTGCCTGGCACATAACTGATGCTCAACAAGTATTTGTGGAGGGGAAAGGAAGAGACTGGTTGGGTCAATAAGCCTGGAAGAAATGGGTAGCAAAAGGAAAGGGTGAGAAGAAAAGTCACTCTCATAGGCCCATGGGGATGTGGCCAGGCAGCACCCAAGTGAGTCTGTTGGCACACTTCCTCTCACCAGTGTTCACACTGGCCCCATGATCACAGCTTTTTCCTCATAGCAGACACTACCAAATTCTCTGTCAAGGGCAAAGAAGGCCCCTGGGAACCTACTGCTCTAAGCGAGGTCATTGTTTTTGCCCCAACATTTGCCTACAGTCCTGTTTGGCAACAGTGGGCCAGTTCTGGCTGGGTAATGGGCTTCCCTTGAGGAAGATGGCTGTGCAAGGCTATGGGAGACCAGTGACCGGCTCTAATTCTTCTCACTCAGGCAGTAGCTGCCTTGAATCTCCCTGAGCTGAGTCTGTTGAGGGGTGAGAGTGAGCCTGCCTGAGCCAAGGAAGAATGCTGAACCCCAGCCAGCGGCATTAGCAAGGTAGGGAGAAGATTCCAGGAAAAGAGGTAACTTTCTGTCACTGAAGAATGGGCACAGATCTGGATCTACGTTTCAAATGCTGTTGACAGGATCGTTTTTTCAGGACATGTTTATTGACCCACATTACTCCTAGAATTGGAAGTGGAAAATTCCTGGGAGAGCATTTGGTCTGGCATGTGCATGTACTCCTGAAGAAACTGAAGGTCACAGTGCAGAAGAGCACGAAGAAGAGATGAAAGATACAGCTGCAGCCATCTTTGAAAAACATACACCATAACAGGGCTTCAGGCAATTTTCCAAATTTTGTACAATAGCATGCATTACTTTTATCATCAGAAAAAAAAATTATTTAAAGAAATATGGTATGCAACAGTGGAGGTAAAATTCAGTACAAGGTAAAGTTCTATAGAGTTTCAAATTCTCATGCAATCTAGACTTTCTGGAGCCATTGATGCTAGATGAAACCTGAAACTATTGCCCAGAGATAATGTTGAAACCTTAAACCAAAAATATCCCCTGAAGTCTTCTTAAAACAAACAAAAATAGTTTAGCCTTAACTAGCAAAAAACGTCTGTCTTGAGCATTGTGCCCTTTTAAAGCTCTTACCCATGTAGGATCAAACTGACAACAGCTACTCAAAAGACTAGATTGCAAGCGAGTAAGTTTATGTTAATAGAGGAAAAATTAGGAAAAGGAGGCTGAGAATGGTTAGACAAATTGAAGGATGTAATCAATGTCGCTAAGTTATATACGTAGAAATTATTGAATTGGTGTAGGTTCTACTCTGTACATTTTCAACAACAAAAATTAAATTGTTGTTGTTATGTACCGTCGAGTCAGCCCTGACTCATAGTGACCCCTCCTTGGGTTTCCGAGGCAGTATCACTACGGAAGTAGGACTGCCCAACCTTCCTTCTGAGGAGTGGCTGGTGGGTTTGAACTGCCAGCCTTCTGGTTAGCAGTCAAGTGCCTTAGCCACTATGCTACCAGAGCTCCTATTGGAAAAAAAAATAAGGTTCTAGGTAGCTGAGCCTTTCTGTGGCTTACTTACTTTCAATGCTATGCACTGTTTTTAGGTGATCAATCAGAAAAGGGATAGGAGAGAAGCTGTCACATCACTAAGCCATCCCCCAAATGCCTGGTATTCTTATTTTCTGACTTTCTGAAGTCATTCCACATAAAGGGCTCTTTTCCTCAATGCCACTTTGCTTGAATCCATCAAATTCCTTTGTGCCACGGCCACAATGAAAGTCAACAACACCAACTTATATTAACAAATATTCATTGAACGTCTATGTATAAGGCAATATTCAAGAGTCACCTGAATAATGTGATACTTACTGAGCACCTATTATGTGTTAAACATAATACTTATGGCCAGGGATTATGAGGTGCACAAAAAATAGGTGGTTTATTGCCTTCAAGCAGCTTATATTCATGGAGAGAAAAAGAAAAATAATGATCATACACAAAGGAAAAGGAAATAAACATTAAAACAGATGTGTAATCAAAGTGTCGTAGGAACCCAGAGAATTTGTTTTGGGGAGAAAGGCTCTGCGGAGGATATAGTGCTTGAACTGAGTTTGAAAAGAAAAAGCATGGCTTACTTAATAAGAAGAGGGTCAAAGAATTCTAGGATGTGAAAATACATGGCCTGTTTCTAGAGTATTGCATAGAAAAGAAACTAAGGAATATAGATGATTCTAAATGCAACTGTATCCTAAAGACTTTTGGAGGGTAAGGTATTTGACCCAATTTGCATTTTTGGTCTGTATTCCGCAGTCCTATATACAACGTTTGAGAGAGTAAGCATGAGGCAGGGTGATAGGTTAAAAAGCTGCAACTACAGTATCACAAAGAAGGGAGATGGGTGTGAGAGAAGGTGGAGAGAGAGAGAGATGGTGATAGTGGGACCTGGACGGTGACTGGATTTGGGGGGAGGAGGAGGAGATGAATCCACTGTTTCTAGCTATCAGACTACGAGGTCAGTCACTGTCAATCAGACAAGGAGCAGAGGTTGATTTTTGAGGCTATGCTTGAGGTGCCCAGGAGATGTCCCAATGTGTGAAGCAAATGGAGAACAGTGCTAAGGAGAGGCCAAGTCCACATTGTTAATGTATGCGTGGGAGTGAAAGAATTCACTCTGGGAGGGAAACATTTCCTTTCATGAGTACAAGGTAGGTTGAGAGGTGCTAGGGAGAACCAAGAGACAGGAAAGAACAGAATTGAAAAAAGGGGTCCTTGGTTCACAGCCAACAGAGCTTCAACAGCCAGACCGAGAAGTGCTCCTCCTGCTGACCTTGCTACTTCTTAGAAGGTGAATCCAGTGCATCAATGAAAGGGGTTCTTTGTTTGGCTCAGTGCTGCCCAAACAGAATTTTCTTTAATGATGAAAATGTTCTATCTGCGCTTGCAAATACAGTAGCCACGGGTTACACGTAGCTACTCAGTTATTTGAAACGTGACAACTGAGGAACTGAATTTTTAACATCTGAGACAAGCCCCTTGAATTTTCAAGGCAGCAGTTTATACAGAAAGGCAGTATTTAAAATGTGATTCCCACTGATGGTCAGTAGAGCCAGTATCAAACAGTTTAGAAAAGCTTTCCTGGCTACAGCCAACACAATATATTCAGAGATGTCAGAATGCAGATCTTTCTGAATGGGTAGTTAATTCTCAATGGCTTACTCTGTAAGAATTGGCTGAACCAGTTGCCATGGAGTTGATTATATTGATCACATTCTTCAAGTTGTACAATTCTCTCACCCTCCTTTTCTGAGTTGTTCCTTCCCCAATAACATTAAACACTGCCCCTAAGTTTCCTATCTAGTCTTTTGAGTTGCTTTTGTCATTTTTACCCCAGGTGCTTCAGAGAACTGTTCTATAGGGTTTCCGATGGCTGTGATCTTTTGGAACAGACCGCCAGATCATTCTTTTGAGGCACCTCTGGGTGCTTTTAAACAGTCAACCTTTTGGTTAACAGTCAAGCACTTAACTGTTTGCGCCAGAAAGTACAATTATATTGTTTGAATTGCTAGAAGCCTTAATGAACTATTCACTTTAAATGTTTTACCATGACCATCCATCTCTTTCCTACTCACCACCCTCTAATTAGTAGTACAAGTGCTTTATTGGTGACCATGGCCAGGAACACAGGCTATAGGGAGGGACTAAGGCCCAATTTAATGTTTCCAGGCATTTTTGGCCCTACTCTCCTTGCAACCAACCAGAGCTCTGCGATTGGTCCTCCCCACCCCATGGTTGGATATTCAAATCTAAGGCTTGGTATTCCACAGCCATTTGCAAACAGGTGGCTCCCCTCCCAGAGAACTATTTTACACACCAAGAGTTTTACAAAATCCAAAATAATTTTATTCACTTTTTCAGATTTTGCTTCCACAAGGTGTTTAGCAAACATGCTAAGGCGACAGAATGTCTAGTTGGTCACGACATGCAACGCTGACCGTTTGACTGATGACAGCAGCGACCACGCCCACCTGAGCTACTGGCCTCACAGCACGAGGAGGGTTTGCGGGAACACACTGAACCACACAGCAATCAGCAACCTGAGGTAGGTCTCTTTACAGTACAAAAAACTCCTATGCCAGTGTGAGACACTGATTAGCAAGAGCTGCTTGAAGTCGCAGACTTTGGAGAGAGAGAGACAGAGAGAAAAAGAGACAGTGCGACAACTGCAGTGAGAAAGAAAACAGACCCACGGAATCCTGAACCCTGTCACTGAACTGTGGAGGTGTGGGCACAGGCAAATGAAAAAGTACCACCCATAAAAGCAGCGGTTGGCTCCAGGAGCCAACAGGTCTAGGAGCTGGAGAGCTCTGTGCAGTGGCCAGCGTGAGGAACCTGAGGCAGTGGGACACTCTGTGAATAGACTGATTTTTGTTTAGAAACAACAGCAAAAGAGGAAGGCAGGAAGGAAACTCCCTCTCTCCGAGGAATGTTTCTGTGCTTCTCATTCCCGATGGAGGGAGTATAACGGGGTCTGGGGCTTTGCCCCACTGCTCTCCTGACAAACAGTGAGGTGACACAGGACAGAAAGCAGGAGCCCTGAGAATTCACGGTGCTCTGTATGGTCTTCGCCATCCCCGTCCCCAGAGGGGCTGTGGGGAGGCAGCAGAGGGGGCCGCTGACGGACCCACTATGGCCACACATCTTCCTTCTGGACACCCAGAACACCTGGCACCGCGAAACGACCAGCTAAGGAAGAACAAATGCTACCCTTCCTACAGTCTAATAGCAAAACCAGATCTCTGGTACAGCAAACTGTACAAAAATGATAGAAAGGAATATGCACTGCTATCAGCACAGTGCTCATTTTAATATAAAATAAACAGCTTACATTTTCACTGTAAATATAGGCTATGTACAGAGTTATATATAGATATAGCTACACGTATAAAGCTTCATTATAGGCCTCTGATACATTTATAATAACGGTTCCCTGAACCTTTTAGAGTGCAATTAAGAACAAAAACTAAGTTCTGTTTACATGAATATGGAATAAATACAATAATCAAAATATGACTCTCCCTAAAAGTGAAACACACAAGCCAATCCTGAACTGCTGTGCGAAAGATAAAATCGGGAAAGGCCAGGTTTTGGCAGGAGGAGACGCTGAGGGGCCCGCCCCAGGCAGGGATTGGCGATGCTCCGGAGAAAGAAGACTCATCGTGGGGGAGGAGTTAGCCCTTGACAGCAACCTTGTTCTCTGCAGCAGCCGCAAACATGGCATAGAACCGGGAGCTGTCATTGGACAGAAGGACTGATGGGGTGTCAAACTCCACCACCTGCAAGAGAAGGAGACTCCATGAGGGTGTGGCTCAGGGACAATAGGGAGGTTCAGAGGACCACTGCCCAGGAAAGGAGGTCAGCCTCAAGCCCCCCTCACCCTGCCCCCCAGGACGCAATCAGGGTGATAGTCAATTGACCTTGCCACACCCAAATGATCCCGTCCTCTTTTTCTTCCCCCACTAACCAAGATGTAAGGGAAAGGCCATCCTTGAGCTTTTCTACTGTAAAGGAATTAATCGAAAAAGTTCTATAAACCGTAGGGAAAAACATCCCTTTTCTCCCCATCTGTAACAGAAAGCTAATGATATCTGCATCTTTCTCAGGTGTTGTGATGAGAAATTATATGTCATGCAGTTAGTACAGTGCCGGTACACAACAAACATTCAATCATAGTAGCTATTATGGTATCCATTATTATTATTAACAGAAGACAAGTTATTTGTTATAAATGGCTTGTCAGTTTAACCAAATCCTTAATTTACTTCCATCCCAGGGACACACAAAGAAATTATTTATTTTACATAAATTTACTTAACATCTACAATGTGCAAGAAACTGGAGTACTGAGCACTGCTGAGGACCCAAAGAGGAATGAGGTGTGGCACCTGCCCTCAGGGAGTTTATTCTCTAATAAGGGAGCTAGGGCATGTGCACCATTACTAACGGATGAGACTGACACGCTACAAGAGAGCGCTTCAGATCCAGTTTAGATGATGCAAGACTGTCTACAGCCAACAGCACTTGCAAGGGAGGAGTGGGAAACTAAGAAGAAGGGGCCAGGGCCAGAGTGTGAACAGCTTGGAACAGCAGGCTAGGAAGTTTGGCACAAGGACATGATCACAAAAAGTAAACACACAGAGTGGCTGGTCTCAGAGCTGCCTTGGGCTATTCTTGTATGTGTGAACGAACCACTAAGTACATGTGATCCTGGGCCTAAATCAGTGTCACTGTTTACAAGCAACAGACAAGCAGTAAAGCAAAATGAGAACCCAAACAGAGTGCCTGTGATGCAATCTCTTGACTGGGAAGACGGTCTGAAACACAGCTGTTATGGCCACTTAACTGAATGTTCAGAAACAGTGCTAAGATGGCAATCGGCCTGTCCCAGCTGGGACCAGTTTTCCTCTGCCAAGCCAAGGTCCCCAAAGGGCTCAGTACCTGTCCTTGGGCCAGCACCATAATCCTGTCAGAACCTAGAACTGTGTGTAGGCGGTGGGCAATCGTCAGCATGGTACAGTCTGCAAATGCTTCTCGGATGGTCTCTTGAATTAGTAAATCTGTCTCCGTGTCCATGGCAGCTGTGGCCTCATCTAGAATCAGGATCTGCCAGGGAAGCAGAGGAGAAAGTTGTTGTCGTCAGCTGTCACGGAGTCAGTTCTGACCCTTATGCGTAACAGAAGGAAACATTGCCCAGTCTTGCGCCATCCTCATGTTTGAGTCCAGTCAGACAGTGTTCAGAGAAGGATGAGGGATCCAATAATCCAATCTAAGCATTCTGGGTAATCTAGATTTTATTACATATTTCATTACTTAGATTTTATACTATATATTGTTTTTTCTAAGTTGATACACACACATATAAAAATACTACTTTGCTTAGAATTAATATTGCTTTAAACCCATGTTAGCCTTGATTGCCACAAGACAAAAAAAAAAAAAAAAAAAGGTGATGTATAATACTGATCTGTTAAAATACTCGCCCTGACTTGCTCTGTGATGTTGACATTAATCTCTTTGGATGTCCCTTTTCCTGTCTGTAAAGTAAGGAGACTAAAGTAGATAACCTGGGTGTCTCTTACAATTTAAAAATCGTCTAAATCTGTAACTCTTTACTGGGCAGACACAAAAGAAGTCCTTGGACACTAAAGGCTCCAGGAAGTTAAAAACAAAAAAAGAAAAACCCTTATACCCAAATCCTGTCGAGGTCAACTTAACGTGTCCTGGGCATGCTCTCAGAGTCACCAAGCTCAGAGCCAGATATGCCTTCAGACTCAATGTCACAGGGAAGGCCACATTTCACTCTTCCCAGTCTTCTCCCCACTCCCTTGCTCCCCACCAACCCAAACGCCTCACCTTACAGTGTCGGAGCAAGGCCCTTGCTACACACAAGAGCTGCCGTTCCCCCACAGAGAAGTTATCCCCATTCTCCATCACTTCAGATTCGAGTTTCAGAGGTAGCTGAGCAATCTAGGGAGAAGGGAAATAGAGATTAGAAGGATAAAATACTAAATTTTACCAAAAATGCACAGGCAAGAATGAATTATCTGAAACAAATGGAAGAATTATCAGCTAAGACCCAGACTCATGTAGAAAGCTGGTGCCGATGTGACGGCTAGGTACGGTTGTTGCTCGTTGGCATCAGGTTGATTCTGACTCAGGGTGATTCCATGTGTGCAGAGCACAACTGATCTATGGGGTTTTCAAGGTAGTGACCTTGCAGAAGCAGACTGCCAGGCCTGCCTTCTGAGGTACCTCTGGGTGGGTTCGAATCACCAACCTTTTGGCTAGTAGTCTAGCACTTAACCATTTGAGCCACCCAGGGATTCTGTGTCCTAGGACCTACATTTTCTAGGAGAGTCCTTATTTCAAATATGCCATCCTGTTAGCCTCATGCCATTAAAATGCAATGAAATTCTAACATTTTCATGTTCTCAAATCCTGTCAGATAGTGGCCCCAATTTTGGGTTCTGAAAATATGATCTTGCAATAGGAGATGGGGTGAACACAACTCCTCTCCTTTTGAAGTGCAAAGCTGTAGGCCCACAGCTGGTGACTGTCCAACTTAATAGATGTGAAATTCAGTCTTCAAACGAAATTGCATGAGGAAAAGCCTGATATAGAAGAGTCAGAAATAAGAGCTGAAGTCAAGGAAAAGTTTATATATGGAAGGAAACTTTCTTTGTTGGTTACCAGGGGTAGGAGGGGAGAGAAGGGAACAATGTGAAAATAAAAACAAAATAATAAATAAATAAATAAAAGGGAAAGAGAAAAAAAAAAAGAGCTGACCTGTTTGGATTAGGGCCAGCCTCAACCCAGGGGCACGAGAGACCCCACCCCAGGCCAGTGTCATCAATGTGCCCAGAGGCTTACTAAGCTTCATTAATAATGGGCCCATGGGTGCATACTGCATGTTTTTTGCAGACTCATAAATTCTATCTCTCTTGCATAAATATGGATGTTTCAAAAGTTCGTTATACTGCAATTAATGAAATAGAAATGAACTTAATAGCATCATTGAATTCTGAGTAATTGTCATTAATATTTTCTTAAGCAATAGATATTAAAACCTGTGGTTGTCAAATCAATTCTGACTCACAGTGAGCCTATGAGTTATAGAGAACTGTTCCACAAGGTATTTCAAGGCTGTAATCTTTATGAAAGCAGATCACCAGGCCTTCTGTGCTGCCACTGGGTAGGTTCAAGTCACTAGCCTTTAGGTTAATAATTGAGCACTTGTGCCACCCAGGGAACCCCAATGGATAGTAAAAGGCCAACATGACCATGGGTGGTGGTGGTGAGAGGGTGGACTCCTACGATCTATGTGAAATGCCTGGGAAGCCCTGCTCTCTAGTGCTTCTCTGCAGACATCCTAGAGGTGGAGGGACAGGCTGTGGCTGGGCAGGGGCAGGGGCAGCTGTACAGGCTGCAGAGGGACAACAGCATCACTGTGCTTCCACCCTTGAATGTCTAGCACAGCTCTGCTCCAGGGTTTACTTACACATTCTTTCATGTGTGTTCTTTCTAGCGCGTCCCAAATCTGGTCTTCCGTGTACTGGTTGAAGGGGTCCAGGTTTAATCTAGAGAGAGGAAAACATAATAGGAATTTCTCAGTGGCCTGACATTTAAGCAACTGTATTGTGATAGCTGTCTGGTGAAAGTTGAAAACATTCAGGGACAAGGAGGACTCAAAACCTGGAAGGTCACAGATAGTTCAACCCCCAAGTAGCCACAGGTGGAAGCTGAGGTGGGAGTGCTGGCACCTGCCCTATGTAGGAATGTCTATGAGGACGGGGACTGCTCCAGTCCCCATTTCCTCTTTATAAAGAGTTACTAATTTTAATGTTTATTATTTTTATTATGTAAATAATACAAGTTAGTTGTAGGATAACTAGGAAATATAAATAAACAAACCACACAAAAAATACTATAATCACACCTCTAGAAATAAGCACTGCTAGCATTTTGGCATACCAACCTTCGAGAGCTTTTCTATGCATTAAACAAAACCAAACCTCACTGCCATTGAGTAGATTCCAACTCATAGCAACCCCCTTTGGGCTTCCGAGGTGGTAAATCTTCATGGAAGTAGATTGCCCAGTCTTCCTTCCTCAGAGTGGCTGGTGGGTTTGAACTGCCAACCTTCCTGTTAGCAGTCAAATGACATACGCCCTATGCCACCAGTTAAAACACGTCTTTCTCGGTAACACACTTTCATAAAGTGTCCTCTCTCTTCAGAACGCACCAGGTGTGAGCCCTGGCATTGAGCGAGAGCTCCCCAGCAGCTAGCCTGCCCAGGGAAGGAACTGATCCAGCAGAGCAGGAAGGGGAGAGTGAAGGGCACCCCAAGAAGGAAGAATGTTCTTGGTACAGAAGACCAACCTGGGGATGAGTGCTGCCTATACCAAGAGCAGGACTAGACATTTTTGCAAATGTTGAGAGAAAGGAGAAAAAGATACTTATCATGGAGGGTAAGGGTGAAGATGGTGGTGAAACAGGTATTTGGCAGACAATTGAAATATGACAGTATTTTTTTTGTGTCTTCTCTTGATGGAAACATTTGTCGGTCTAATAATCTGAAAGGCATTAGGTATAATTTACTTGATTCATAAAATTATACTTGTTATTTTAAAAATCTCTAAAGTTGGACTCCAATGTGCTGCTGAGATCATCTGTGAAAACTGGGGGTGGCAAGTGGCGAAAGGGGTTGGTGACGTGCTCTGTAAGAAGACAACCCCGAGTGCTGGGAGAGTGGGGCAGCACTCAGGGGGCCCAGACAGCTCTGCCACGTGTGTCTCCATGTCTGGAGTAGAGTTACTAATTGTGGGCACGGTAAATGCCAGCAGGTCATAATTACAGAAATCTGCCTGAGAGGGGGAGAAAAAGGCTGGTACACGGCCTGTTCATGTCCTTTGCATCGTCTCTAGAACGGCCTTGGGAGCCTCTAACTGGCTGTGCTTGTCTGTGCCTCGGGGCTTTTGCCCAGTGCCTTCCCCCTGCCTGGAGCAGGCTCACCACTCCTCACCTTCTTGCTTGGATCCCTGCTTTGCTTCTTACCATGTGTGCAACCTTGGACAAATAAATCATTCCTCAATCACATCCATAAAGTGAGGATAAAGTGACAGGACTTGGTAGGTTGTTGTAAATGCTAGAGACAGTAAATGTGCAGAGCCTAGAACATGGCAGACAACTCTCCCTCACTGCCATGGAGTCGGATCTGACTCATAGGGATCCTTCCTTGGGTTTGTGAGGCAGCATCTCTACGGAAGTAGATTGTTCAATCTTCCTTCTGAGGAGTGCCTGGTGGGTTTAAACTGCCAGCCTTCTGGTCAGCAGTCAAATGCCTTAGGCACTATGCCACCAAAGCTAACTATTAATTCTGACAGGGTACACATAGACCTGTTAGATGCCAGGTCCCAATGCTAGTGGCTGCCTGACTTATATATTCAGTGCATTTTCCATGTGGATCCAATACTCACAGGAAGCCCGAATGGCAGGACCAGAAGCAGCTCTGATTAACATCTTATCTGTGAAAGGTCTGGACAAGGAAAACTGCTCTCTATGAGCACACACCTAGAAAGAGCCCTCTTAATTAAAGTGGTCAGATTTGTTGATAACTGAATGCTGTCAAATGGCAGGCCATGGGCTAAGTCTAAGGAGAAGTCCACCTGCTTCTAAACAAAAGGACAAACCACGAGACACTGAAAAGTTGCTGATCTTCCTTGTTCTCCTTCCACTCCGGGAATCTGTCTGCACATGAGTCTGGGCTGAAAAGATTAGTGAGCATTGTCTTCCTTTACAGCTGCTTTTTAGGGGAGCCTTGTACACCAAAAGATTAGGGGCAGATTGAAATCTGTGTTCTCTGTCTCACGTCTGAGGAATAAAAGATTAGTCATACGTTTGCCAGCTTTAACAAAGACTGTTGGAATTCCCACGGGGCAAGGTTAGTAAGATCATCTTTTCAGTGGTATTTATCAAGCTGGTAATGCAAGTTTTCACAATAAAATCCTCTTTCTCCCATTTGTGGGGTCTAATATGGACCTCCTTATACTTTGGATTAGAATGCCCACACTTAAGGGTTGCAACAGAGTCTCACTTTTGAACCATGACCCTCATAGTTCTTAAAAAATCATTTGACTTTATGATTGTTGTTCTATTATTTTTATTTTTTTAATCACTCCCTCTGAGCTCTTTACCAGAGTTTTTGGAAAGTCTTAATCAAATCCAGAAAGAAGAGAGAATCTACCACCATGCCGCCCCACCCCACAGAAAATCACGATGACTGGTTCCAAATGGTGACTCTTGCCCTGCTTTGCTTGGTTTCCTGCTTGTTATGCCCCACCTTGGTCTCCAACTTGGAATCCAGCTCTGGTAACTGAATTCCTGTTGTGCTTCTACATACTAAGTTCCTATCTTGACAGTTTAATCAGCCTCCCAAGGGTTGGGGCCTCACCTTGCTGTGGTTCTACCCTGAACTCCCTGGTACAGATATCACCCCTCCTGCATCTGTGAATATTGCCAAGTCTCTGCTGCTGTGCTCTGTCTTCCTGTGGAAAATCTATGTGACTGAAGGCTGGAATTACAATGCCAATAACTTGACAAATTGCCACCTGTGGCTTGATACCTAATTCTACATTTCAGGTTTAGCCCACCACCTATTGCTTAAACCTGCCCTTTCTCTATGCCTTCCTGGCAGGAAAGTTTAATTTCAGGGTTTGGATTTTATTACTCTGTTCAGATTTCTCCCATCTCTACTGAGTTGAGTCCTTTGCACAGAGTAAGACCTCAATCAATATTTACTCAAGGATGAATGAGCTTATAATGTTGATTCCCAGGACAGAAATGCATGGATAGTTTCCCCAGACTTAGGCTAGGAAGTGTTCTTTAGCACCGCACAGTGACGCCTAATAAGTTCATCAGCTGCCTCGGACCAAGCACGTACACAATAATAAGTACACAAAACTGTGGTCCCTGCTTTCCAAGCAGCCTGCCCCAGCAGATTTTCTGCAGGTGAAGAGTCGGCAGAAACATCACCAGGCTTGACATTCAATGTTCCCCTCGGCCCATCACACACATAAGAATATTTACAATCACCAGTAGGTGGTAAACATAGACATTAACCTAGACCAGACTGATCTCAGCAGGGAGCTCAATCAGGAATAGAAAAACTATGCCCTCATTAGAGAAGCCAGATGGCCTGGGTCTGACCTGCAGACAGAACTGAAAGCAAAGCTATGCCTACATTGTATCAAAAGCAGTCAGTAGGTAGACTGGAAAAAAAAAAAAAAAATTGTCTCAAACCCTGAACAAGAAGGCAGTCATTTTTAACAGAGCTCTTGGGGTCCTAAAGTTGCCAAAAATACATTTTCATCTTTTTTTTTTTTTTTTTTTAACCTATTGGTCATTGCTAAATGAGGCTAAGAATAGCTCCAAATGTGGAAACAGAATTCACACTGTCTCTTGCCCACAGTGGGTACCTTGTCAGTGGCCTAGGCCCTCAGGACCAGGAGACTTTGGCACTTACAGACCATCTCTTGTCGGGAAGATAAAGGAACGTTCAAAATAGTTACTCAAAAATAAAGACTGATTTTTGGCCTTAGCTGTTAAGAGCAAAATTAAATTTTTTTGGGGAAAAAAAAAAAGAGATAAAAAAGGTAAGAAGGGAGAGTAGCCCAAGATGGCCGACTTCAAGGATCGGGTGTTGGATGAAGAGAAGGGAAGGGGTAGCACATGCATTTGCCTAATATAACATGGATCAGTTCACACCTGTGACGACAGAGGGATATGAAGATCAGGTCTTAATTACAGAACACGGTGACCTGGGTAATAGCAGAATTTTAGATCCAAGAAACAAAATTTCCTTTAAATTTGATCACTTACGGAAAGAAGCAAGTGATCCCCAACCAGAGGAAGTAGATGGAGGCCTCAAGTCTTGGAGAGAATCCTGTGACAGTGCTTTAAGGGCTTACGTGAAAGATCATCATTCCAATGGCTTCTGTACTGTTTATGCTAAAACTATAGATGGGCAACAGACTATTATTGCATGTATTGAAAGCCACCAGTTTCAACCTAAAAACTTCTGGAATGGTAGCTGGCGATCAGAATGGAAGTTCACCATCATGCCACCAACAGCTCAAGTGGTTGGAGTGCTTAAATTCAGGTTCACTATTACAAAGATGGCAATGTTCAGTTGGTTAGTCATAAAGATGTACAGGATTCAGTAACTGTTTTGAATGAAGTCCAGACTGCCAAGGAATTTATTAAAATCATAGAGCATGCAGAAAAGGAGTATCAGACAGCAATTAGTGAAAACTATCAAACAATGTCAGATATCCACGTTCAAGGCCTTGCGCCAACAGATTCCAGTTACTCACACCAAAATCGACTGGAACAAGATACACACCTACAAGACTGGCAAAGAAATGCAGAACGCTTAAAGTATGCAGACGATACAACTTTGCTTGCTGAAAGTGAGGATGACTTAAGGCAGCTACTGATGAAGGTTGAAGAATACAGTCTGCAGTATGGATTACATC